TGTAAACAGCTATAACCTTATGTTAAAGAATTTAAGGGAATCCTATTGAAAAATCATTGATGGCCCCAGGAGTTTGACCCATGCGCCACAATCAACTGTAAAAGGATTCTCATCCAAATGCTACAATGTCAGTCACAAAAGACAACTATACAATGTTTTGATTTTATAAATTCAGGAATTTCGCAACACCAGGAGAGGATCTTTCACTGGTAAGTGAGGAAGCAACAGACCGCATGATAGTAGCTAAGTTGTCTAGAAACATGGCACACGGCAGGACAACCTTTCAGCGCCCATTTCATGTGCATCTTAACCAAGTTTGTCAAGCTGAGGCCGGGAATAAGTCCCTTTTCTAGATCTCTCTCACGCTTTCAATTTTGCCCTAAGAGCTTTCAGCAGTGATGGTTTCCATCAGCTTTGTCCTTGTGTCGGGGCGGTTTGGACGCCCAGAAGCCATCAGTCTCTGAGACCCTGGCAGCTTCCTCCCGCGACTCACTCCACACTTTCATTCTGCTGGTCTGGCGGTCCGGGCTTTTACGCAATAACCGAAAATGTCATTTTTGTTCTTTTCCAGTAACTGCACTGGGAAAATCTGTTTACATGCACCGATCCCACACCTCTTCTAAAATCCCCACTTCAAGGGTTCCAAACATCTCTTCGCTACTCAGCCCAGGCTAACACCTTGGGGTTCCCGAGACAGGTTTCATTTCAGGCTGCCTTAGTGGCACCAACCAACAGAACACACACAGTTTCTGCTCCCTCTGGGGCTCAAGTGCGCGCCTGGACCGCAGACAGTAGTCGCTTTCAGCTCGGGACTGCGGACTGAGGCCGCGGGGGTGGCAGAGGTAACCAGCCGCGGCGGCGATCCCCGGCCAGAGGCAGAGCAGCAGCCGGAGGGCGGGCACCTACGATGTGTCCCCGACCCGCCCGCCTATCGTCACCAAAAACCTCAGACACCCCTTGTGTCACCGGGCAGCTCGTCCTCTCGGCCCTGCCGCCCTTGCCTACCTTGTGTCTGTCTGTCCGGAGCGCCTGCACAGCCGGCCTCCAGTGCTCTGGAAAGCGAAGGAGGACGCTTTGTTAAGGCTGGAGAAGCGGGACAATACTTCGCAGCCGGCGCCGTGGTTCCGGGTGGGCGTCCTTCAAAAGAACGCGAAAGGAGACCCTCTCGAGCGTCATTTCCATATGTAAGGGGCCAGCCCTTTCATAGGCGCAGCTCTCCCGGCCGCAGGCTGCGGCGCGCGCCCTCCCTACCCAGCGCCAGCCCGCCCCCCAGCAGCGCAGCCCGCGCCTCCGGACCGGCCCCTCCCCTTTGGTCCCCCGAGAGCGCCGGGTCTGCCCGGCCACCGCTTCCTCCCGGCCGTCCCCTGGGTCTGGCCCGCGGGGACAACGCCATCCTGGTCCCGGGCCCGGAAGGGGAAGCCCCTGCCTATCCCCAGTACGGGGTCCACCTCAGGCGCACAGGGCCTCTCCGACAG